GTGTTTCGTTAACGAGTTGAATGAAATGTTTCCGATAAAGGCTGTCCTTCAACTAGTCATGGTTCTCAGCATTTACCATGTAGGTGTGAACTCTTTAATTGGGATTATGTCAGGCAAGCGCTGAATTCAGCAAGAAGTTCACATCGAGTATTCAGCACTTTGACACAATAACCGTCTTCCATACTCCGGACACGACCAGTATGTACGTATCAAAGCTTTTTTCTGCATTTTCAGCCCCTACCAGAGGGTTGGCATACAGCATGGAAAGTTGTACTCTTTTCAGACAACGCATGGTTCTACAATCACCTCCCTTCAATGTAGCTCACATCAAATGTCCCTACACAGTGATCATATACGATGACAAGAAGAAAATGCCGGTTTATTTTGGGAGGTATTGAAAGGTGTTGCTTGCTTTAGACATCTCGTAGATGATACTTCTCCAGAATAGTACGCCCAAAAGCTGCCGACACGAAGACACAGACTGTCGGTGAGAAAAACGAACACAAGCCAAGACCAAATCGATGGTGTCATTTAATGTGATGGTCATTAACTTTAACTCTAGCACTATTTACCAATATCTAACGCACAATTATAATTACTGAATTAAATGCACTAATGAGCTTGTCGAATCTATTCTCCGAAATTAATTTGATAAATTATCAGTTTTATAGTGTTCAGACTTCATAAATGCCAATGTCGATGAACAATTAGAGTTATCACTCCCTTTTCAGGCGGTTTTTAAGCGATTTACTCCACCGATATAAGAGCTGCACAAATATGAACGCAAACAATCGTAGAAAATTTCGAATCCTAAGGGCCCAACGCACGAAAATACAGTGCGACGTAGCCCAACTTTCAGTACCAACTCTCGGGCAAATTTTGGACTGATTCAGCATTATATTCCTGCACCGAAAACAATGGAAATACGGCGTTGAAGGGCGCTTGTGAGCAAAACGCGCGACTGAAACGCTATATTTGCATTGTCGTCAGCTAGGAAAGGTGGCCAACCCGGCCTGAGATGAGATGGGCATTTCTGTACGCATCGAGATTGAGACGCTAAGTTCAAGCCTGCTTTGATTATTTGCTAAAATCTTCTTAAAGATGTTATGGGGGAGGGTTTCTTTGCCGCCCTGGATTTTCAGTGTTTTGCCTGCATTCAAATGTAGGCTCCATTACAAACGTCACGTGAATAAACGTGGTAAGCTCCGGTAACGCAGCGGGCACCGGTCTTGCTTCTCCAGCAGGGGTTAATGGTTCATTCCATTCCGGAGCTTGGTGTTTTGCTTATTTTTTAAGCGGAGAGGTTTTTTGAATCCGTTATCT